GTAGTTTTATAAGAGATTCCTCTCACATCAGGTCAGGGATGGCTATGCTGTCATTTACTTCACTTTGCTGTAGCTGGTGAAACAGCCTGGCTCTCTACTCCAGATCCTGTCCTATGTGTCATAGACAGCAGGACTGACTCAACATACTGACAAGTAGACAGCATCTGAGTAACATAAAAACAAAAATGGCAAAGACTGTTCAAATGCTGTGGTTTATATATTACAGAAAATATTTATACTTTTGACATTGAGGATATTTTACTTCAGGTTCACAACACTTTGCCTTTGATAGTATGAGCTGACACATCATGCTGAGGAGGTCATTTATAAGACCACAGACTCCAGTTCATTCTGGGGGCCCTAGGCATTCTCAAGTGGGGGGGGAGATATAATCTCTCCACTGTGTCCACCTGGGTGCTTCCATTAAAGCTGGCAAGATGGCCAAACTACCTCAGCTGACTACACATGTATGTAGGTATATTTGAATACTAGCGTTGGCAGCAGAAAGCCCAATCAATTGCATTTATTAATCATCTGGCTTTGTCACAGACAAAATCACTCAACCAAAACACAAGCACAATAAAACGAGTTGGAAAGGCACTACAATCAGGTTGAGACAAGGTGTCGGAGGTGAGTTAGGCGAACCATTACTCTTTAGTGCTTTTGAATAGACAAAAAATAATGAAAAGAGAATGTGCTTGCTGGGAGAAGTCACCCTTTTGTTCTAATTTTCACATGATATGAGTTTTATAAGTAAATTTATAAGTGTTTTTTGACCGTTATATACATCCTTGGAGACTTATGCAGCAGTAACATTGCAGCAGAATCCGTGGAAGACGTAAAATGAAAACTATATTGAATCAATACTACAATGAGTCTTGGGAGAAGGATCAACTGAGCACGGAAGCATATCAACAACAACTTCTTCAATTTTAGCAGAAGGGATTTGTTATGGTTGCAATTTCTTCAACCGCAAAATCTAAGATTACTGGTTAAAAAGGATACTTCCCACACATTACCTGTGCTATGTGTTATGTGGGCTTTTGGAACTTGCTGCTACGGTGATAGTAAAATATGCAAGAAATGCACATTTAAGATGACCTAGAATACATCAAACTCTGTATTCAACCTTGACTGAACATGACATTGAAATACACCGAGAAGCAAACACTATGGGAGCAAAAGGTAAAAATGTGGTATGTTCAAGCCGACAGAGTGGTGCGGAGGGTTGTGTGAGGAGTGGGGGAGTCAATAGCAGGAGAACAGCAGACTTCAGTTTGAGTAAGAGCGATATGTTTGATGCAGGGAGATCAAACAGCAGAATTCTGCAGTAGTGAGGCCTGCATTCTGCTATCTGCTCTGCGGCAGGACCGTGGAAAGGCCTAGCAGAGAGCAGAACAGAGGACTTAGCTAGAACTTAGTTTTGTGGATACTGTAGAAAGGAAACAGTATCGTGTATAGAAATACAACAGAAAAGGGATCAGAAAGAGATCAAGGGAAACATAACGGATTGTGACCGGGGTTATTATCATTAACGAGAACTACATCCATAAGAACGTTTTCATAAACTGAAATACAATAAGATATAAAAATAAAACTTTACAGCTACAAATAAATAAAAACTATAAATATTGCTTCCGAAACTAACTGAAACAAAATAAAATAAAATAAAACATCAAATACTTTCCCTTCCGGTTTTTAGAAACTACTTAGCTAGTTTTTTTTTTTTTTTACTGGTACCTTACAGTGTTACTTGTTCGCCATGAATAATACCTGGAACATGTTTTGCCCATTTTGAGTACATTAGTACGTAATATGCAGTATTCATGCAGGATTCTCTACAGATAAAATAGCTCTACAACCCTGAATCTATCCCTAGAAATAAAATTAATAAAACCTAAATTATAAGCAAAATATAAATAAAATAAATAGATATATATCTTCAAAATAAAAGCTAATAAAACCCCACTGAAAACTAAACTGGATTTCAAATGAAAATATAAAATGATTTAAAAACAGAAACTAAATTTTAAAAATTAAAACTATAATATCACTGATTCGGACAGAATGAAATATTGGATAATAGAGGCATCAATAGTTACAGGTGAAGGAGGTTAACAGCGGGGAGAAAAATATGAAGAATATGATGCCACGAATTTGGCTTCATGTGATGAGCGTCCAGTTAATTGCTTCCCTTGTGTCAGCACCTTTTATACAACAGAATCTCTTCACATGTATCTGTATTCACGGCAACAACCATACAACTCCTCCATTCCACTGTTCAAAGACACAACTGGCATCCGGGCTGACAAGGTCAGAGGAGAGTATCTGTGCTATAACAATGCCATAGGGCTAGCACAGTCTTGATAAGCACATGTAACCATAAAAAAGCTCATGTAGCCCACCATAAAGGAATATCATAGATAGCTGAACTATAAGGGGCTAACTTAAGCATTAAAAACTGCAAGAGACCTAAATATGCAGTGGTTTTTGGGGCCTTAATACTCTATTATAATGTCAGCCATACATTTACCAATCATAATATACACCTACATGCTCATTACATTTTTAAATTTTGTCAATAAAAAGTATCATCTTTTGTAAATGATGTGCTAATGTTGGAGCCATCAGATTTTTTTCAATATAAATTTTAAGTTGTATTATATGTCTCTCAATACATCTGCCCTTTTTGATATTTTTACCGTATTATTAATCGTAAACAGTGGCCTTACTAAAACACTAGCCGCTACTTATTTGAAGTCATACAAAAATCTACAGAACCAAGAAAAGCTCAATTGTACATGTATGATTGGATTCCACTGTTCTAAACTACAGATATATGTTGTCTACCTCAAACAATGCATCTGTTACAAGCAAGCCAAAGTTGAGTACTTCCACAAATGAATGTCGCATTTATATAGCGCTTTTCAAGACACCCAAAGCACTTTGCAGAAGCAGTGGGGAGCCACTCCAACTACCACCACTGTGTAGCCCCCACCTGGATGATGTGATGACAGCCATTCTGCACCAGTACACTTACCACACAGTAGCTAAGGTGGTGAAGGGGCAGGAGAGAATTCACCAATTATATATAGGGAATGATTAGGAGGCCAGACTTGAAAGGGGCACAGTGGGCAATTTTAGCCAGGACATTAGGGTACCAACCCCTACTCCTTCGAAAGATGCCCAGGGATCGTTTAAGACTTAAGACGTGAGTCATAATTCTAATTCGAAGAACAGCAGCATTCTTACAGCACAGAGTCCCCACCACTGCACTGGGATCCACACAGACCACCGGATGGGCCAACCTGTTTGCCACACCAACACCTTCCAGCAGCAACCCACTTTCCTAGTCTGCCTCCCATCTAAGTACTGGCCAGGCCCAAACCTGCTTAGCTTCTGGTGGATTACCAAGTCTGAACTGATTGATCGATCGATCAATCAATCAATCAATCAATAAATAAATAAAGATAGATAGATAGATAGATAGATAGATAGATAGATAGATAGATAGATAGATAGATAGATAATTATGTATAATTTCATATATAGACACACACACGTGTGTGTGCTTACGGTAATGATCGTAACTTGGAGACAGCTAGGTAGCCTCCCCAAACTGCTCAGGGCAGCTATATTCTTTTTTTAAGTTTAATGTGTCTGAAAAGTATTTAAGTGAGCTTTGCAGCCATATACATCCAAAGTTAAAAGATAATAGCCAACAATATCACTGATAAGAATGAATTCTTGCACAAGTTGGAAAGTGAATAAGATAAAGGCATTTTGGGGTCCTCTTCGTTCTTTTAACAAAAACACTTTTTAACTTCTGCGAAAAGCGCTAAGAGGCATTCACAGCAAAAGACAAAGAGTACCGGGAAAATTAATCAGATAGCTCGCATTCGCAATAAACATGCAAATTACTGATCCGGTGTAAAAGATGCGTTTCTACATTTTTTTCTTGCTATAGCCTGCCCCCTGGCGGTAATAAAGCTCTGCAACTAAAATAAAAATAATACCTTTCAATTCCAGCAATTAATATTTCAGTATTTTTTAGTTATTTATCAGACCCATTTAGCCAAATGTTGGTCAGGAATCTCTGGTACAACTGGAGATTAACAGCCTTGCTGAAGAACCCAACGACGACATCACTCTGTGGACGCTGGAATTTGAACCAATAACCTTCCAACCACAGGCACAGCACCATAACCCGCTGAGCTGCACACCTCCCCTTCCCACCATCGGGCCATGTTGTTGTCAGTTTGTCTTGCTTTCTCTCTGACGCAATTTCTTCCATAGCAAATAGATACTGAAAGTTTTTTTATAAAAATTCACAAAAGGTTTGCGTCCATTTATTTAGTTATTCCATATTTCTTAATCCCACCAAAGGAATACATTTAAAATAATCTTAATTACAGAATAATTTATTAAAGCAATTAAAATAATATCTTAGTTTTAAATTAATAAGACTGTTTAAGAATTGGTATTTAAGTGACTATTTTAAACCAATGCAGACCTTTACACCAGTCATGTCAAATTCTAATTTGGGTAACTCTTTTCTGAATAAGTAAACACATCCTTACAGTGTGAAGTTTTTCCCCTGACTCTCGTCTTTCGTTCTCGAGAGGAAAACGCCTCGTCAATTGCAGTCGAATATTCAGATTACGGAACAAATACCAGAAGAGAAAAATCTGACAAAAGTCAGTCAATGGAACGATTTGATTGTTATAAAATTATCAGTATCTAATTATTAGTCCAATTTAAATGCTACCTTCGTGTTTCCTATTAAAAACATGATGCACCAACGTTTATAGAGTTATTTATATAATATTGCCCATGGTTGAACACTGTTAAGTTTGATACTTGACTACAGCAGGTTCTGCGTTCACATTTATAAGACGGTGGCGCGCGCGCTGTACTCCACGAGACGGGAAGGCGCCATTCGTTGCAGCTCGAGTTTAGCCCCGCCCCTCTGCGGTCTCGTGATTGCAGCACGAGGCGGAACCCAGCCAGCATGCGTGTGCATCACGCCATCGAGCACTATAGGTTGGCGGCGCATCGCTGGTCTACAATGTCATTTAATGTTCTTCGAATGAAAAACGTACAGGATCGCGAACACTCTAAACAGATACTATAAAGAGTACGCCATGTGGAGATTACATGGATTCGTGGGAAGAGGTAAGATTTGTTATTGCTGCAAACGTTTTACTGACGCAATCTCTAATTATGTGCTGCTAGTTTATACAGTATTTATTACAATTTATGACTTTATATAGTATTTATATACAGTAATATATACAGTATTTATTTGCAACATGTTTATTAAGTTGGGGAGTGTATTAGTAGTCGACTCGTAATTGCGATTTTAGCATAATTTAGTTGACATTGCTAAGGTGGCGCCGCCGGTAACTTGTCTGTACAGACCTATTTAGCAATTCCCGACAGGTCCAGACAAAACAATGCACCCAAGTAGTTTCGAAATCCACGATATGGCTTGAAACCTACCCATAATGTGTTGATGGTACGGAACGGGTGTCATATCAATTTTGTTTGATAATTTTTATCTTTCTGGTTTAAAAGGACACCTGCTGTCTATTTTCGAACCAGGCCAAAATAACCCCAACTGCAGTCTGTTCTTTTTAACCCGCGACAATATTACCAAACCAGCACAAAACTGGTGTGTAAACCGCGAAGCTACCAAGCGCTGACGCGGGCAGTTTAAACTAGTTTAAAAGTTGTTACTTAAAAAGTGAAAAGTTAATCATTTATGTCCCTAAACTTTTGGCCAAAAAATGACAGCCTAATCATTTTAGCTTATTTCCCTGAATGCCAAGTCCTTATAGCTAAATGTGGGCATAATCATTTGGATTCATATCAGAAGGTTGTGAATTTACATGGTGGGGCTTAGCTCATATACCTGCAGAGGTGCTTAAACATATTGAAATGGGGAGTCTGTGAAGTGAGCTGGTAATGACCGTCCTCATCCTTGGAAACGCCTAGAGGGGGTGCAGGTTAAGAGGCACTGCTGAAGGGAGGTGTGACACTAACCTCTTCTTGTCCATACATCTCTAGTCCTGGGTCGTTACCATGGCAACACCCCCCTCCGGCTCTCCCAAGGTCATCATGTGGAAGATGAGGTGCTCAGCACCTCCACAGCGCTGTCCACTGGCCTGCACCCCTCTGACAGCGGGTAATGCCCAGCCCCTTGACCACCTGTTTCATCATTCTAGATACCAGCAAGGCCAAGGTTATTTATAAATAATCTAGTATGGGCTGCTCGAAGGAGGCGAACAAGCAATGTCGGTCACTGGATTAATAGCAGAGTTGTGCATTCGCTGATGGACACACAGCTGTGTAATCCTCAGTGAACCGAGCCAACAAGTCATTAAAAAAAGACCTTAAAATAAATGTGAATATAACAGAAATGCAATGCTGATATTCAATTCATGCAAGTGACGGAGCTTGCTTTAATAAAAGATGTTTTGCGGTCCCTGTAATAGAATTGACACCTTTGTTGTTGCTGTTTTAAACAATTCAGCTCACAGAAAGAGGAGAATGGGAGGAAGAAGCAGAAGAAGAAAACCTTCAAGTTCTGCAGCAGTGGACTGCCGCGCTACACGGCCCTGGATGCAATGGGCTGGGTAAGTGGCGCCACCTATTTGACAGAACCCTGCATAACATAAGCAGAGGCTCTTATATCGCTGCGTTCAGGCGCTCACTATTTCTGTCATTCTTCCTCCTGCACGCTTTGATAAGGCTTTGATAAGGAATGATGGTGGTGTTATTTTTGGCATTTGTTTACACCGGTGTTTCCCAGCCCAGTCCTCGGGGACCTGTAGACAGTTCATGTTTTTGCTGCCTCTCAACTGGGAGGGAGCAAAAATGTGGACTGTTGGGGGGTCCCCAAGCACTGGGTTGGGAAACACTGGTATACGCTGCTAGGTGGAGAGGACGAGGAGGAGGATGTTGATAATTGTGATGAAGGCCCTCTTTTTGCAGGGCACAGCTGCCGTGCTTCTCATGCAGATCTGCAGGAAGATCCACTCACAGTTCGCTGTGAACGAAGCTAGTCCTGGATCTGGAGTCGGAACATACAGGGAGGCAGGATCACTGAAGAAGTGTGGTTATCGTGTGCTGCTGGAGATTTGTGAGTTTGTTAATATGCGCTGAACATGTGTTGTTTCAGTCTAGTCTACCACCCTGAATGACCTGATGTTAGGGATTGGATTCACCAGTTGTACATAAGGAACTTCTTTTAAGTGATTCAAAGCTAATATCTGAACATAATGCCTGTCAACATGAGTTGGGAATTCTGTAGAACCCAGGGTTAAGAAGCCTTGTTATTTCTATAAGAATGTCAATGCAGATTAATTGTTAGGAGATCCACCAAAACTAATGTTTTGGACAGTCAGTGTTAGTTTAGAACTAAATTAAGAGCTCTGAATTAAGGTTTGTGTATGACAAGCTAGAACACCCCAGCACTTCATGTTCTCTTCTCTAAAACATCTACAGTACACACTGGAAACAAATTTATTCATTATTCATCTCCTGGGAAGAGAAGAGAGCTCACATTTGGGGTCAAATCTGGGTATTGAGTCCTTGTGGTCGTGTCCATATGTAGTGTCTCGCCGGGATGTCCTCCCAAGGGGCGTGAGCGTCAACTGCCTGAGGTCTAGCCTGGAGGACAAGGGAAGTGGCACTGGGGCAAGTCACACCCCCCCGATGCCAGAAAACTCCACCTTCTACGATTCAGTGGGTGCGTCCCAGAGCAGTGACTCCCAATCAGGTTAGTGCTCATTGTTATCCTGTAATTCAAGCTAACTGTGTGGTCTCTATGCCTCATACCCAAGCAAAAGTCCTACTCATATATGACTGCTGGTCAGCAGTTAAAATGGAGACACATAAACACAACAGTGTTTGAAAATCCTCAGCAGAAAACATACATCACCATATGAATGGGCACACGCTCTTACTACTTCAATAATAATAATGATGCTTTACTGATCCCCATGGGGAAATTCTCTTTTCACCTAATCCCATCTTGCTCTCCATGACCTATAGACACTTATGTAGATGAGATTACACTTGCCAGCAAAGAGCAGCCACCTGTAGCAGAGGGGGGTTAAGGGCCTTGCTCAAGGACCTGCAGACATGACTATTTTGCCAGCAACCAGCAACTTTCCGATCACAAGCACTGAGGCTTAGCCCGCTGAGCCACACGCTACCAGTACCTACGCCATGGTTTTTCTGTCATGACAACAGAGGCCTCACTTTCAATGTCTTTGCAGATGAATCCCTTTCTTCAGTGGAAAGCGCTCATCAAGAAACTGCTACAGAAAATCATCTACACGAGGGCCAGAAGGTGAGGTTCCCGCAAGAATGCAGCTTCCTGCTCCCCATGGAGGTGCCATCGGGCTTATGCCGTTCACCCCTTTTCTCCTCAGGAGTACCCTGCACTGGACGAGGAGCTCGCAGGTGCTGCAGACAATCTGAGACACGTGGCCGAATCCAGCGTCCCTGTTATCCTGAACATCATTGGTAACACACCAGTATTTGTAGCATAAGTGTGTGTCACATACTGATGTAATCACTTTTCACTATTAAAACAGTTTACCTTCTTCAGGCCCAATTTCAAAATAAGCATAACAACGAACAGGAATTAAAAAAAAATATATATATTAATCACCTATGTCCCATTAGAGGCTCCGTAATAAAGCAAAAAGAAGTTCATTAATTTTTCACAAACCCGTCTAAGAGTGATTCAAACTACAAGGATGAAAATGATTATGATTGTCTCAGAAAACGAGTACAGCGCTCATGCAAAAGTAGTAGAGGTAAACTTTAAACTGATTTTTAAACATATATTAGATAATCTATAAAAGGAATAATAATTAAAATTGCAAAGCTAGCTATGGTTTTTTTTCTATAATAGAGTAAAAATGTTTTAGCTAATCTTATACTCTGCGCTATAATGTTCATGCAGAATTGAAAGTAAGAAAAAGCCTGATCTTAATCTAGCTTACTAGTGATGTAAGAACTGTATGTGCGTAACATGCGATGTTGGTATTAATGTCGCACATCATCCAGCCCGATAATACACTACAGCCATTTTTTTGTATTCAGTACAAAATACCCTGGCACGCTTTGTGATGTCAACCAGTTTTTAGGCCAGTGGAAAACCAACAACTTGAAGTACTGTACTTTTGGTTCTTCGAGAAAGTTTCACTTGGTGCCGTGAAAAAGTGCCCTAAGCTCTCTAGGTCACTATTCATGCAGTGTACGTAGGTTCAGACTGAACATGAAAAAGAGGAATGTTGAGCCATTCATAGCGTGTAGCTATTCTATACTTAAAGGGCTATAAATGTGCACAAGTTTAAGTGTTATTTCTGTACTTTTGTACCATGGTGCACAGGCATAGAGAGCGCAATAAAGGGGGACAGCCAAGCCGCTTTCTTGTGCTTTCTGGCCGCCACCAAGCATGGCTACAGCAAGGCCCAGTTCAACACTGGCGTCTGCTACGAGAAAGGTCAAGGGGTCAGCAGAAACCTGGAAATGGTAGGAACCGCTGCTCTCACACCTGCTAGATGCCGAAGTCTCACTAAGATCACGACTGGACTGTAAATAATGGACATGCATATCCGTTTCCATTTGCCTGGTTTCCTTTATCTGTAATGCATTGCGATATCCAGGAATTGCGCCCTCTTCCCCGCTTTACATTCTCTTTCCCCTCATACTTTTCCACAGGCCGTTGAGTTCTACAGACAAGCAGCAGCAGGGGGGCACAGCCAGGCCCAATACCGCTATGCCATGCACCTCTTGCACAGTAGGGGGCAGCAGCAGCACACTGAAAACACACTCGTAGCAATTGACCTACTGGAGAAAGCTGCTGTATCTGGAGTGAGAAAGGTCAGGGCGAGTTGCTTGTCTGAGTACACATGTACAGTTTCATGCGGTGCCCCATTTCTGGCACATCCTGAATTCTAGATATCTAGATGTCTTGCTGTTTCTCTCAGGCAGGCTGGTTTCAAATGGTCTATATCCTCCTGAGATCCCATCCATTCATTTATGTCCATTATAGTGGACATTTTGTTTTTGCATCTATCTTTTCACTGATGTAAGGAAACATGTTTATTCCTGTTGTACACTAAAGAGAACATGCTGTGAAATTAGAAATGGAAATAAATTTGAAAAAAATCTAAATTGTAAGATGTCTTATTTCCTCCAAAGACAAATAACCTAAAATTGAAGGACACTTATTTTCTTTGGGTCTCAGGAGGATATTACAGTCAATATTACTGTGTTCTATGCCGTATGAAGCGGAATGCTTTTATTATCCTGGAAGGAAGTTGCTTGAATGCCTTCTGCGTTTCAGTTCAGTATCATTTGTAGGTGCATGAACTACCACATAGTCTGTACACAAGGTGAACGCACCTGCATCATAATGGCACAAATTCTGTCCCTAGGCTCAGGCATATCTGGGTGTGCTGTTTACCCAAGAGCCTACTCAGGACTGGCAGAAGGCAGTGCACTACCTGCGAATGGCAGCAGAGCACGGGGTGAGTGAGAGCAGCAACCACAAAAAAGTAAATAAATATGTTTTATATATATAGACACATACACACAAGGAAAAAAGTAGCACAAACTCATAAATCCTGAGCGTACAACTCTGGGTGTAATACTCAGGTCGAGTGCTCAGTGCTCAATCATGAATGGAGGTTAATCCCATCACTGTCAAAAGCTTAAACACGATTGGTCGGCTTGACTTCTGCTCCCCAGGACGCAGTCAGCCAGCTGTACCTGGGGCACTGCTACAGAGAGGGCCTGGGAGTAGGGCGGAGCCTCAGCACCACCCTGCAGATGTACCGGAGGGCAGCTGAAGGGGGAAACCCAGAGGCCCGGCGCATTCTCTCTGCCTGGAGAGCGGGGTGTAAGATACACACACACGCGCACATGCACACACACACACGCACACAGAGCCATTACAACATCCTCTCTCATATTGGATGCATGTATTTACACACACTCATCTCTACGGAAAATATTATTTTCTGCCATTACAAGTGACTCTGGCATTAATAGAACTTAATTTACTTGTAATTAATTTAATTTGAAATGGTTGAGGGCACAAATGAATCAAATTATCTTCCTGATATTGGACACATTTATTTTTATTAGTTAAATACACCTGCAAAGCTTGTTTAGGGGCCTGTAGCTGTTTGAAGACATGACATTAATGTTATACCCAATCAAGCCTCATTAAAGTAAAAATTAAGGAGCTAATTTAAAGCATACATACATCTTGAGGTCTTATTTATATAAGGCGTGACAGAATGCTGACCTGATGAGCTTTTTTTCAACCCTCTTCAGTCGTCGGCGTTCCTGAGAACGTGTTCCTGCGGTCGACTCGCTCGGCCCCCTGTTTCGCGTCAGCTGACCAGCTCCACTTCCTGTTAAGCGCAGGTTTCTTCAGCGCAGCGCAAGACAACCCCGAGTCTGGCTGTAGCAGCCGAACCCTCCCGCACAGCTGCAGCATGGGCAGCATCCACACCTGGCCCCTGCTCTCTCCGCTGCCAGAGCTACCCCAGGAGTCAGGGTCATCATTGGTGTCCACAAACACTGCCCCCTGTGGGTGGACCATAGGAGTTGGATAATGGGCGCTTGGAGCAGGGAGGGTAGTCTGGGGATGCAGACAGGTTAGGGAGACGGCTAGGGCTTCCTGAGATTAAGGATAATGCTGAATTCATTTCAGTGAACTTGTGAAAAGATGCTTGACTGTTTACAATGTGAAACTTTGTGTCTGCAGGAATGAGGTCCAGTGTTATTCTCTAACCCAGGGGTGTCAGACTCCAGTCCTGGGGGGCCGCAGCCCTATGTATCTTAGCTCTTCCCCTGTTCCACCACAAATGATTCTGTGTGGTAATTAGCACAAGGAGTTGCAAGAAGTTGAATCAGGTGTGTTAAATGAGGAGAAATGAGGACTCCGGCCCCCCGGGACTGGAGTTTGACACCCCTGCTCTAACTGTACATCCTCTTTGCGACCATGGTTGGGTGATAGCTGGGGAGGCAGCACATCGCGCAATAGATGAAAATGAACCAGATTTGTATCAAAACGGAACTTGTTTCTCCAGATTTGCACTATTTATTTATAGACAGATCTGTTGCACTGGACTGCACAGAAATCATGGCCTGTATATATGTATGTATGTAGAGATAAAAAAGTACTTTGCCAAAGGATGTGTATGGGACTTAAGGCACTGGTATCCAGTGAGATGTGTGTATATATATATAAGATTATGTTGTTTAAGTCTGAGCATTTGTCAGCAGTTTCACAGAAAAAATAATAAAACTAGAAAAGTGTACTTAAGTTTTTGGGTTTGTGTCATTAATCTAGGTGAGTGTTTGATGAACAAAAAAATAACTTGTACTGTATATTACTGGGAGACTTCTACACCTTTAAGTGTGCGCAGGTATGCTTGTATCGGCTATGAGCCGGTCAGATTCGTGCTACTGACAGGAAACGGCTCCCAGGTAAAGTGAAATGTGACCTGACATATGTTTGTGACACCGGCGACGAATAAAACCGGAGTGATCTCTGCTGCTTATCGCTCGGCTTTCGTAAGCCCGTAGTTCATCTAGGCATGTGTTCCGGTTTTTATGTAGTTAGTAATTGATTTTCTTTTCTTGCGAGTAAATAATCAGAAATCCAACTCTCACTAGTAGTCCATAATTTATAATAATAAACGAAAAATTCACTGAATTGACGAAGGACGCAAAATTTCGGGGTAAGTCTATTCGTATACACCCGTAGTGAGAATTGCATTTTTACTAGTAAGAATTCATGTTATAGAGCTCTATAATTCAATTTTTATTAGTCATATATCCCCATTGATTTCCATTGTATTTTACCCTCGTCGTAAATTCAAAGCCGTAGATGATCGGCTGTTTCAGCGGCTTCCGGTTTGATTCGGGTTTCCTGTATTTGTTACACATCAAGTCAAAGTAAACTTTATTGTCATCTCATATGCGTGACCGCCTTAACTTTATGGTTAGAGTTAGCCTAGCTGTTGTTGTGTGCAGTAAAATACACAACTCGGTTAAGTTTAGCTTGCATTGACCACTCTAACAGAGTAGGCATCTTTATTTAGCTTTAACAACAGACTTGTTAAAAGACGGAACATATACTGTATGAAAGACAGAATACAGAAAAAAATCTGAATCGTTAGGACATGCATACAAAGGTGCACGTCTGCGTGGGCCAAAGAAATGCGAACGAGAACCGGAAGAGGCGCATCTGACATGGTGACAGTACTGACCCAATGCCAAAAACACGTGTTTAATTACTCCGTTCGTGAAAGTTTTTGCAAGCGTATATAAAATAAAACAGCATGCACTCCTGCTTATATGAATATCTTATCTGCTCAGTGAAAATACTCAAACGCTCTTCCTCAAAACACACTGTCATACACTGTCGTTAGAGTTAATACGCTTTATTTATTAAAAAGGAAAACTACTAGTTCTGTACCAATAAAACACACCACCACGAAGGATGTTTTAAATAAAACTGCAATGGTACTGGTAGCCCCAAGCCCCTCGAATGAACGTTATAGGCTGTCATACCCTCCGATATCCACAGTCCACCAAATGTTGGCTGGAAGCGATTTACCTGTTTGTAGTCTGCCGTTACTGCAGTTACTTCTTAGTTAGTCAACGTTGTATGATTACTGTTGAGTTTAGCAAAGCCAGCTGAAGGGCTTTTGTTATCCATTAGAAAACACACATTCTAACCGAACCAGAGCGTATTTTCCCAACACTCAAATCATGTTGATTAGTTCCTGATCGGAGGCTGTACGCACGTTTTTAGGATCTGTTCGGATTAACTGAAAATATGATGGCAATATTGGCAATTATAAAATGAAAACAACGATAAATCTGTGGGCGTCTTTTATGTCATTGTTAGTATGCATAGTGTTGCTTACACGGTATTGATACGAAGCAGTAAATCCTATATTACATAATTTTTTCCCCTTATATATTTCCCAGTAACCGCCTGAGTGTATCCTAGCTCGCAGTGGGATGTGGCTGCTGGCGCTCTCGCTCCCGGTGATGGTTGCTGTGGCGACGCGTTACTGGGCGGAGCTGGGTTCTTTGGGGCGGCGCGCGCTGCACGCGGCGCTGCGCTTGTGCCGCGGCAAGGCGTGCGCAGCATGCATGCCTTCGTTTTCGTTAACTGCACCCACGGCGAGGCTCAGAGTGTGCTGGAGACGTTTGACCTCTACGCCCAGGCGCACCCATCTCTTGCCATCGGCCGAGAGAAAGGTGAAGTGCATCATAGCAGATTAATTTTATTATTATTTTTTAAATAGATGTAGGTTGGTGTGCCTGTGCCTTCACCCAGCCCTGCAGCTACATAATATAAGTGGCCTATCACCTGCAGGGGAGTATGTGGAAGAGGTGGTGCGCCGCGTGGCCCCCAGTCAGGCCCTCGAGCTGGGGACTCACTGCGGATACTCATCCATTAGAATCCTGTGTGCTCTGCCTTCCTCCGGCCGGCTGCTGACTGTGGAGAAGGACCTCGCCACAGCTGATGCAGGAGAGGAGATCATCCTGGTGGCTGGTTTCAAAAACCCCCAAGTATGATTTTGCACACTCTGAATGCCATTCCAGCAGACCTCCTATGTGGCAGTCCTGCTGCATGGTCCACCTCATCTCCACACACACACGCAATACAAGTAGGTCTGCATCTGTAAATGTGTCCACGCAGATACATTCACACACCTCCAGGGGGCAGCAGGTAGGACACTTCTGGGTTTTACACAAATAAACAGACACTTCTAAACTGCGAAGTTGGCCAGTTTATTTTAGTAAAACATCCATTTCTGTACAGATTTGGTAAGGTTTTATATATCTCATTTTGTGATGTTCAAATTTTTGATTTCCTGAAAAAACAGAAGCGATATCATTACCAATTAGATTTCTGCTAATAAAATGTTCTAATATGGATTTAGTGAAATTGCGCTCTTGAAACAAACCAGTATTGAATTTAAATCTTTAAGTAATAGAATCCCATTGGTAATCACCAATGAACCCCTGTGCAAAGGCCCTTAATCCTAACTGCTCCATGGGTGCTAGATGCTCGCTGGCTCTCTTTTCTGACATTTCTCAGTTGCTACATGGTATTATGTGTTGTAATGACTGTGGCAGCTGCTGTAAGAACAGAGTGAACTTACCTGTGTTTCTTGCCAGTTCCAGGTGCTGACATCTCCATCTGTGGAGGCCATCACTCATTTGCACTCACATCTGGGGGACAAGCTAGTGGAGCTGGTGCTGATGGACCATGACGTGCAGCAGTACCTGCCAGAACTAATGCTGTTGGAAAGTGGGGGGTCACTCGCCACCGGCTGCGTCCTCCTGGCTAACAATGTACACCTTTCTGGAGCGCAGTCATTCCTTGATTACATTCGCAGCCAGCCAGGGAGATATCGCATAAACAGCTTGACCCAAGGTCTGCTGGAACTCAACTGGTGTCCCTAGAACCTTATAGACATATCAAACACATCATAATAGCTCTTAGGAAACCCAGGAATTAAGGAAAAAGAAACAGACCCATATCCATACAATCTCTTGGGGGATTAATATTACAGCTGCATACATTGGTAGTTCATACATTTTGTGGAAATATGCTAAATTGGAAACCTTCACCACCACTTATTATACACAGACATTTTCCAGAATTGCTTATTCAGTGCAGAGTTACAATGAGCTTAGAGCCTGTTCCAGGAATCAGAGGGCATAATGAAAACCTGCGGTAAGAATCTCGCAACATGAGCAGAACATGCAGACTCCTTTAACACCAAGCAGGCAGGAAGTGAACCTGTAAGTCTTGGAGCTGAAGGTATGAAATGTAGAAATCGGCCATCATGGTTATTGGCTACTAACCCAATTTTATGATGGAACTAAAGAGCTTAAGGAATGACACCAGCCTGAGTAATTATTTTATTAGAAAAACATGTACAAAGTGCTGTCTGTTTTGTTTATAACGGAAAAAAAATCCAATTTTACAAGATGGCTCTACCAGAGAGCTTAATTCAGACACATCTTGGCCAGTTTTTGGCCATGTCAAGACATTAAATTGTTGTGTATGTTTAACATAAATGTGGAACTCATTAAAAATGCTGTAGATGATTGCATTCTTTAAACATGTTGTTTAAATCTAGACTTGAATACAAGCTGTTGCTGGATAAAAATGGTTGGTTTCCTCTGGGACTGTGGACGGACGAGGTCCATTGTGCTCAGATTGTCACTCATTGCTTCTCAGAAGCAAGGTAGCTGTTATTGGCGTTTTGTCTTTGGAAACAAAGTGTCGTTTCCTTCACATGTGAAATGGGACCAGTTAGACTCACAAACAGTCCCCCTGTCCTTCACAATGGCCACCAGCTTGTTCCCACTGAGCCCCCGCTCTACTCCGTCAGTGATGTCTGCATAGCTGTGGGGGGGAATTTTGCCCCCCCCCCCCCTTTCTTTTGTTACTTTATCATGTTCAGTCACAAACATTAAAAAGTATCAGAAGTAGTGCTGGAAATGGCGACACTGAGGGTGCGTCAGCGCCCCTTCTGGTTGCTGGTGGTAATGCAGTTTCAGCTTGCCCATGCCAATAGTTTTTGTCATAGAAAAACAGCCTTATGTCAATTATCTCGCAATGGCTCAGAGGTGACTATGATTAGTGTTAGCTGTTGACAGCTACTAAAAAAAAAAAAAAAAGTAAAATCTATTGGCCGCTCCAACTTTCAGCACCCTGAGCTCAAAACGTCTTCCCACACTGATGAATAGGGGACTGCTTGACCTAATGAGTCTTTGAGTCAGCTGTTGTTGTTTTTTTTTGACACATAAGTGGAGGGCCAGGTATGCCAGGGAACCAGCGGGAATATAATTGGATGAGGTAACACCAAAGGGTCCAACCGCGGTCCCACCCGCACTGCCACTCACATCACTTACTATTGTTCTGGGGTCTAGCAAGGTGGAGCACTGCATTGCCGAAGGATTTCTGCCCCCGTCCCAAGGGTTTTAAGGAGGACTGGCGCCCCCTGTTGGTGTCCCGTCCATCCCCAAGGAACGGCGGTATGCAGCAGAGAGCCGGTACAGCAGCTGGGCAGGGGTGTGCGGCTGAGCCTCAGCCTTCTGGGTGAGCAGCATCTCAAAGAGCGTGCTGACCTCGGAGAGCAGGGCCCCGTCCAGGGGGGCCCCCTTCTCCGCCGTCTTCCCAAAGGTGGAGAAGCAGGTGTCATTTTTAGCTTCCATAGAAGGGGTGCAGGGGTCCGGGACCTGGGGCCCGTCAGGGACAAAGACGTTCTCGTGGTAGTCAGCGGTGACAGGGAGTGACAGACGTGCCATCCAGGCCGGGTCCGGCACATCGCAGAATACGTCATCTGTCATGAGATATAATGGAGCAGCTGTTAGTAATGCTGTACTTTAGCACTTATTGAGGCATCCTAAAGGAGCACAGGATCAGGCCAGAATGTGCTGGTCTTGGTTTTATTCAAAGTAACTAATATAGTTTTAAGCTATATTTACTGGAGTCTTCAAGATACTCCACCCAACGTCAGAGTAGTGTTTAGTGGAAGGAGTAAGATTTTCATCGCAGAGTGGAGCTGACTGCTTACTGTCCACATGACAAATAAATTCTGGAATCTTGAAACAAGCAGTGGCAGCTTTTGTTCCGCTGCAGATGCATTTAGCTTCTCCTGATGTGTGTGTAACCACAACGACTGAATCAGTAGGAGTCACGCATCGTCCCTCTTTGGGACTATTTACAGTAGCGCTGCATGGAGGCGAAAACAGGATAGAATTCCCCACAGGAAGCACATTCTTCACCTATCTGCTTGTAGTGAGTAAAGCTTTTCCTGTCATCTGTTGTTTCCTGAATCACAAAGAAGGAAACTGGATCTGGGTTTTACACAAATAAACAGAGGCAGAGTGACTGATAGCCAAAACAAGAAAACAAAATTAGTCATTTAAAAACCTAACAACAACACTGATGATCCAAACGGAATTCCTCTGGAAGTTTCTTGCGTTATTGATGCACAAATGTTTTGTGGCATACGTGCGCCCACAAATGTACATAAAAAGCACAACAGCCATTCAAATGGGCAGAAGCGGCAGAAGTAATCGATGACCCTGTGACTCCACGGCCTTTGACCTCTATTACCAGCGATGGGGTAGAATGACTGTTCTTGTGTTTCCCCACCTTGGGACACAGTCTCTGCAGACAGTCCTAATTGGTCTCAGCCAGAAGAGGCCCCAGTCCTCGAAACAGCACTGAAGGATGGATTTAATCTAATAATGTCTGGATACTCCACAGACGCACATGCAGACCTTAAGGCGCTCAACTTCGGCACAATATAGAAATTGTGTTCAGTCAATGGTTTTTTTTTTTTTGCAGGAAACCGACACAAACTATAAAAAGATAAAAACACAACCAGCTGCGATTAATTGCTGCACACAATAGCACACAGACACACGTGTGCCACCCGATCATAGGTCTGTGGTCCAGATTTAGATTAAAGAAAAATGAACAAAAAAAAACACTCCAGAGCCTTTAATGACGCCATAGGTGTTTCAGCTGGTGGTACGGGTAGACAAAATCTTCATCCAAACAAGGACTAAGATAAACAAAACCTTATCTTAAATAATCATCGGGTCAAGTGAAAAGGCCCAGCACAATCTTGAGCATAACGGCTTTTCGTGAATAACTGTTGAGGTCATACCACAAGAGCGTCTGTTTTGAGAATACTAGCGTGAAATGTTTGTCTTGCCACAGGTCTGCGCAAGCTACCTGCTCCATACCAAAAGAACACATGACAAAAATATCAGCGGTGACTCACCGGCAGTCATTGCGCTAAAATTTGAAAACCGGAAGAAAGTAATTGCCACCCAAAATTTACAATCCAATCCATTTTAAAATCCAATTTAGTTTCACAGTCGCACTGCAGTAAATCACTGCAAAATGTGGAGTCTAGCTCCAGAGTTAACGGTGCTTCCGGAGTGAGCCATGTGGCTTCGCCTCGTTACAACTTAATTAAGAGGAGGGAGAGCCAGCGGCACTCATTAATCCTTTGAACAACTGTGCTTCCATTGAAACCAGAACTAGCCGCAAAAACACCCAACCCCTCCCCCAAAGAGCATGGGCCTTAGATGTAGAGGATGGTAATGGAAGTAGAGCTCTGCCTATCCAGGATTGCGGTTAATTTATGATTAACTAATTGAATTGCCAGTCAACCGCAGACTTCTGCTTTGAACAGCCTAACCCTGGAAACCACATGAAATGGAAAAATCACTATTATTATTATTATTATTATTATTATTATTATGTACACTTGTACTACGCATCAGTGTGGACATTAACCTGAATTTAAATAACTTTAATTTTTATTGCATCAAACCTCTCACAATATCTATGTATGAATCAGGCTCCTGATCGTCACCCTGTGCTCTTTTCTTTTATGTAAACAGAGGCACAGAAAAGGTTGGAGGTCTGCTAACAGATAGCGCTGAACAAGAGGAGCACCACTAGCAGATCGCTGCACCGTGTCTTTCAACCACAATGAGGGGGGGACCTGCAATGTGATATTAGACCAGCAGCGAGCAGAGCCGTCTGATCACGTTCAGCCTCAGAGCACAAACGCAGGGGTTGGGGGGGAGTTTAAGGGTTGGGGGTGGGTGTAGTTCACTCCACACAGAAAGCAGACAGATGGAATTACAGCCATAAAGGATCCTGGGATTATGTACTTAAAAGAAAGGCCAAGGATGGTTTTTTTCCCTCTTCGCAAAGGTGCCTTTAATGAGAGCGCTAACGCTGAAAGGCACAGTCCCACAGTTCTAGTGTGAGCTGCTGCGTCAGTGATCCCTGTGGGTGCAAATGAGTCACCGGGGGGCCGACGGCTGCGCTTTTCTTTGTTCAGTTTGTGTATATGTGTATAATGCAGAGCAGCACATCGACATAATCTGACTTCAGCACTCGCGGGTGTGAAAAGGCGAGACGGATCCCCACGCAGTGAGCGAACGGCAAGACCACGAGCAGAGCACCTCATCCCTGGCCTAAGCAGAACGGCATTCGTTCTTAGGGTTCTTCCTCTTCATACTACAGTTCTATGACTCATATTGGCAAATTATTTAATTGCATACACTGACACAAAGTCCATAAAGATGTATAAGCCACACAACACGGATCAATCTCATATTCAAACAACAGAACATTTAGTCTACAACAGGTTAGAGAGAAATCACTATTGATTTCTGACAATTTTACTAAGCAGAGTAATCTGCTCTTTCCAGCTCAGTTGCAGTAAATTGTATATTGCTAAAATAATGTTTTTTCTTTTATGGGTATGGCATGGTTAGACTGGGAAGGTTGTTTCCCTACTATTATTTTTTAAGGGGAAATGTGCATTAGGAGAATAAAGAGCACAGTCAGCTCCTACCTGTGTTGTTGAGTAGGGTGTCCAAGCCCTCCCCCTGCAGAGGGTCAATCGGCGAGTCTCGACCCATATCCCAGTCCACATCTCCGGCCTCGCTCTCGCCGTGTCCGCTGTCCTTGGTGCTCAGCCAATCAGCATCCTGCACAGCAGACCTTCAAAGGAGTGCAGGAAACATACAAGGACATATGACTGGGCTGCAGTGAAGAGCTAAAGCTTGTCGCCAGCCGCCCCCCCCGCCCCCCCAACCAAAGCACCCGACATACTGTCTGGTGGGCTGCCTAACCCCCACATGTGCCAACTGCTAGCAGAGATTGGGGAGGGGGGTGGCTCAATCAGGATATCAGCTTAAGACTAAACCCAAGACAACTCGAGAACTGGGCAGCCAGAGAATCACACATTTAGGCACCACAACTCACCCTTTTCATATTTTTCTGCTAACTGGGGTGAAGCATCAAGGCAATGAGGCAGCACGGCTCTGCTAGCAGAGCAAGGTGAAGCGGAGGGCGTTACTTCATTATTGCAGGGACTTTAAGGAGCCAGACTTAAAAGCTGTACCGCATGTGCTGCTGATTAAAGCTTTTGCGATAATGACAGTCTGGTGCCCAGCCGTGTGGAGCCCCATCGGGTCCCGTGAGTCAGTGTGTCTCCACCACGATGGAAAACCTGCAGGGACTCTGACAGCCCGCGCCAGTGCGTATGGGCATGGATTCT